CCATCTGAAGTGCATACGAACAGGACCCTTGATTATTGGGGGTGATCCCTCTTCCCAGTTCGGTCAAAAATCGGTCTGATTTTGGCCCTATCCCATACTCAGGTTCGGGCGAAAAGGACCACCTTGGGCGAGAACCCAGACCCGGATTTTCGGGCAAAAATGGGCCAAATCTAAGTCAAATTTTCATAGTTTTCGCAAACTACTTTACTGCAGCAGACCATGGCCTATAATCTGTATTATCTAGTGTAGATATGATAATAGACACTTCAAATTCAGTTGTGGGCCCCGACACGTCGCATCGTGCAATGCTCTCTCTGTAAAATGGCCAAAAAATGGCACACAATGAGATCAATGTTGTTTTTGAGCGCAACAGAAGTTTTAGGGTTTTGAACTATTTATTTTGCTTCTTACAGTCTCCAGAATGTCTAGATAGCTTAAAAAATGGCTCAGGTAGCTTATAGGCGCAAAAATTAACCCATGGGCAAATTTTCGGTCAAAAATCGGGACTGGGAGCAACCCGAATCCAAATTTCGGGCAAATTTGGGCCAAATTGAGCGAAACTGGTTCGGTCAAAAATGCCTTTGTTTGGATCGTCCCGGAAATGGGTTCCAGTCCCATAATCAGGGGTCCTATACGAACCGACAGAGGAAGCCTCGCAGCTGACCGTTGATCGTATCAAGAACTGATGAGGGGCTCAGGTTCAATTTGATTAGTATAATTGGATCCCAGAGTTTATTTTATGTAATAATAACACTTCCTGGATCTCTGCTAGGGGTAAAATTTCGTTATATTGTGTGAGTGATAGAAGAAGACAACCCCCTCCCCCTTTGTAAATGACGCTTTGAGTATATGCGTTGTCGTTTATAATCCATTTCCATTTTTACCACTCCGAAGAGCTTTTACGAAAGATTCTAATGATGCGAGCCCCCGCACAGAATGGCAGTACCTGAGATATGATTACAGCTGTGTACTGTGTACTGTATTCTGGGATGGAATAAAGGAAAAAGATCCCGAAACCATTTTAAGAAACACCAACCCGCGAAAGACTTGAACGCTCTCAGACCGGACCTCGATTCGCGTATTTACTCATTGCTCTATCGTATTTACCAGATACCTCTTGGCAAAAGTACCGTCAGGCGGCCTTCTCGTTCTCAAACTCTACCGTCCCTGTCCCCTGCCTGTGCCCAGCCAATTCCAAGTTTGTCGCCGCTAGCATGTGTTACTGCTATCAGATCTTCTCATGCGGCTGCACTCTTATAGAGATATACATTAAAAAAAGATCGTCAATGATTCCAGTGGCAAGTAGACTGGCGATGTCTACTTTTCGCCTAACAGATCAATTCGAATTCTAAGAAGGATACAAACGCTCATTGTATATCCGGACGCATAGTAATTTACTTGCAGAACCGGACGTTGGTGGTTTTCCGGTTAGGTCATCGCCTGTTGTAAAGTCACTCGGACTAGCGGCGGGAGGGTATAAAAGGTGAGGGCATCTCTGCGTTTAAAAGTACATCCAGAAAAGCTAGGACCATTATTTCAAGGTACTTCCAGTGTTCCTTCGGATTTCTTCTCTGTTTTTCGCTGACATATCCCACCCCACTCTTCCTGCAGCGTTTCACACATCAAACATGAAATTTAACTCCTTCATCGCCGCACTTGTTGCTGTCGTATTCAGCGCTCAGGGCGTCGCCGCTGTATCATGGGAGCAATTTGACGCCGTGTCGTGCGATGGCGACGCTAGCATGGACTCCGGTGCAGAGAACGAAGGTTTTCATTGCATTGCGCAACAGGGCCAATCAGTCATCTTTTCCTTTGGCGAAGGAGATCCGTGCACGGCTACCAAGTCGGGCACGACAGGGGTCATTCTGTACAGCGATGAAGTATGTTCTGAGCAATTCGCTGTCGCTGGACCTGGATGCTTCAATTTTGCCGCTGCCACTGGTGGTTCTATTGGGATCACATGCTGAAGACTCTAGAGTTTGGTCAGTCAGTTTGAATTGTCATATGGTTGATTATGGTACTTACTTGACCTACTAGTACTCTCATTCATCCCACCAGAACAAACAGAAGTTTTCTTGCAGCAATGCAATTTCAGTAGACTTGCTTTGGTTTCAATGAATTGAGATGATTTTGTTACTTCAATTGTTCCATTGTATACTGGTTGTTCTTGTAATACTTTCTAAACAAGTACATGCAGAAAAATTAGTGTGGAGTCTGAGCACTTATGATAAACATGTCGTGAAATCTGAATAAACACGGGAAGAAAGGTCTTCGTGACTTGGAGGTGGGCGGGGCAGCGCGACTAGAACAGGCTTCAAGGAATATTTGTATTACTTACGGACCTCGTGAGTCGCGTCGTGAAACTGTAAAAAATTGATGAGAAGCACTAGGGTATGGGGCCTGATGATTCCGCTTTATGCCTTTAGATTTTTACCAGGGAAAGGACTCTCCAAGGTAGAAGTAGGTTCGGATCAAGCCCACATCACTCGGCGTTCCAACCTTTTGGGAACTTGTTTGGTTGACCAAACAAACCTGCGACTCGTATGGGGCTTTAATTTCTGTTAGAGGTGATAGACTCAAAGGATCCCCGCGTTTACATCGAAGGTAAAAGCCTGGAGGCTTTTATATCAGCTCATGATGGGCGTCAATAGAGTGGGCGCTTATTATCCTTTCGTGTCTCGGGCCATACCTGGGCCATACGACGACGTTGAGTCTTTCGCAAGTAATTCTCTCGATAAGGATATAGTACAGCTGTCATCCCTAAAAGCATTTTTTTTAAGACTTCATGCGTGCGAGTATTACATCGAATCGCTAAGTTGTCTAGGGCCTTGTTCAGTTTACAACAAGTTTACAAGGTTGTGACAAATTAATATTGATCTTTATCCTAGAACTACGACATGAAACCCCAATGAACCAGACTGAAGATAAGTAATTAGAGTAAAAGTGATAGAAGAGACAACCCCCTTGCAACTCCCCCGCCTTTTGTAAGTTACACTTTGAATGCATATCATTGGAACATGCTTCGCTGTTTACTTATAACCCACTTTTATCACTCTGGGGAGCTCTTACGATACTCTCTGATAACGCGAGCCCCCACACGGAATGACAGTACCTGATATGAATACAGCTGTGTACTACTGTGTACTGTATTCTGGGATGGAATAAAGGAAAAGATCCCAAAGCCATTTTAAGAAACACCGGCAAACCCACGAAAAGCTTGAACGCTCTCAGACCGGACCTCGATTCGCGTATTTACCCATTGCTCTATCGTATTTACCAGATATCTCTTGGCAAAATGGCCCTCTCGTTCTCAAACTCTCGTTCTCAAACCCTGCCGTCCCTGTCCCCTGCCAGTGCCCAGCCAATTCCAAGTTTGTCGCAAGCTGGTCGCGAGCATGCGTTACTCAGGCTACCAGATCTTAAACACCCACTCATCGGGTGTCCGTTCACGCATAATTTACTTGCAGAACCGGAAGTTAGCGGTATTTCCGGTCAAGTTATCGCCTGTGGTAAAAGTTAAGAATGACACTGGAGGGTATAAAAGAAGACGTCTCTGCACCTAAAAAGACATCCAGCAAAGCTAGGACCGTCATTTCAAGGTACTGCCATAGTGTTCCCTTCGGAGTTCTTCACTGTTCGAATCGATTTCGCTGACATACCTCACCCCACTCTTCTAACAGCGTATCACGAATCAAATATGAAATTCAACTCCCTCATCACACTTGTTGCTGTCATGTTCAGTGCTCAGCGCACCGCCGCCGTGTCATGGGAGCAATGGGACGCAATAAACTGCGATGGCGACGCTAGCATGAACTCCGGCGTTGAGAACGAAGGTTTTCATTGCATTGCGCAACAGGGCCAATCAGTCATCTTTTCCTTCGGCGCTGGGGACCCGTGCACGGCTACCAAGTTCGGGACGACGGGGGTCATTCTGTACACCGACGAAGTATGTTCTGAGCAACTCACCGTCGCTGGACCTGGATGCTGGAACTTTTCCGCTCCCACTGGTGGTTCTTTTGGGGTCACATGCTGAAGCTCGGGAGTTTGGTCAGTCCGTTTGAATTTTCATATGGTTGATAATGGTACTTACTTGACCTACTGGCACTCTCGTTCGTCCCACCGAACTGGCAAACAGAAGTTTTCTTGTAGCAATGCAATCCTAGTAGACTCGTCTTGGTTTCAATGGATTGAGATGATTTTGTTACTTCGATTGTATACCGGTTGATCTTGTAATAGTTTTCCAAACAAGTATGCAGAAAAATTATGGACTTATTGAAGAAACACGGGAAGAAAGGCCTTCGTGACTTGAGGTGGGCGAGGTAGCGCAACCAGAACAGGCTCCAAAGAATTTTTGCCTACAGGCCTTCGTTTGCTCGTGAATCGCGTCGTGAAATCGTAAAAATTTGATGAGAAGGATACGCGAGGTTATGGAGCCTAATGTTTCTGCTTTTGTGCCTTTAGCTTTTTGGAAGGGCAATAGCTGGATCAGATATAAGATGCAATTAGTATCATATTTCCCGTTACTAAATGCAGTATAAAGACCAACACACGGAAGCGGAAATCAGAGTTGGCTACAGACATTGTCAGACAGGGAAAAGAACAATGATATTTCACTGGTCAAATAGGCAGACGGAAATTTGGAATAAGTAATAGGTTCCATCCTATTCCATCAAAAAGTGCATCGTTCAACGGTAGCTCGTAGGTATGCAGAACGATGTTTTCTGTGCCCCTATAATTTTATCGGCTTCGAGCTTAGTAGCTATTCCTCCTGCGTGTGCACGTTCTGCTGTAGAACGAAATGGCCATTTCAGTTTCCCGCTCTGGCTGACTGTTCATTGTTCTTACCTACTTACTTTGAACTTTTCCCAGCTTGAGAAGGAATGTAAAAGTTGATAAGAAGGGGAAGCGTCGGCACGTTTGATGGAGATCAGCTCGTGAAAATTTGAAATAGACACTGTTAAATAAATGAAATTTGTCAAAAAGCGAAACTCACTTTATTACGACCACCATGGGACTCGAACCCACAATCTCTAGCGAACGACCATATGTCGGAAACTAGCGCGTTGCCATTACGCCAAGCGGCCTTCATTTTTGGACCACCTCCTCCCAATAAATCGACTGGTCAAAACCAACACACAACGACAACACTCCAAATAAGTTATAAACTGCATACCCACCAGGCCAATTCCCCTGCCGTCGACAACACCGGCACAATCGCCCTCGGAATGGACGCCGAAGTCAGCGACATCATACGTCGCCCCAAAACCCTCCTTCGTCGGCGCCGAAGCCGTGATATACGAAAACCGCGCCGTGGGCCATATCCATGATCATCATCGTAAACGCGATCAGCGCCCACAGAAGCGCGTTGACCCATGCTGCGCGATGAGGAGGAGCGCGAACATTATCGGTAGAACCGTGAGACCTGTAGCCAAAGGTGAATGGATAGAGGCTGCCGATGTCGAGAGCGCGGTGAACGCAATGTTTAGAAAGGCTAGAGTGACGTAGTTGGCGGCGGAGAGAGGACGACCGATACGTGAAGAAGAGTTCGCGGCAGAGCACATGGGTAATGGTACGTAAGGCTGGATCACGTGGACGAACATGGCCTCAACCGCAAACACCATCCCATACGACAATCTACTGCTGAAGCTCGTTACCGTCCTTGAGCTAACGCAGAAGCCAGACGGAATATCAACAAACAACGCAAAGCAAGCAGTCCTTCACGCGGTCAGTCTGTATACTTTCCTTGAAGCTTTTCGCTCACCCACAGCTCGTTTTCCCAGACGAACGAGTTCAAATCGCTTCTTTCACAAGCTAAAATGCTCGCAGAAACCCTACCCGGGGGTGAACTGGATATCGATGACCAAGACGATGTGATCGAAATGCTCACAGCTCTGAGGGATCGCAAACGGTAAGATGCTTTCATGAGCAGTACTCAGTCTACTTGATTATTATCATTGTGCTTTGACTAGAGACCAATTGATCGAGTTTTCGTCAAAATCTTCACGGGTGGCTTCTGCTGTGGGACCGCATCTGTTTAGTGATATGGACGTTGATTCAATCGCCAGTACTCCGATGCATGATACTTGAGACGAATGTTCAGTGTACAAGTTCATTGGGCTACACGTTTCTATGGGCGAGAACAAACAGCGTCACCTTATCGATGCTACCCATCCGCTCCCCTGCCATCTTTGCTTCTTATTTCGACACCTCGACCTTCGTCGATTCCTTGGCCAAATGATTTTAGACTACTTCTTTGGCACCCTAACTCGAGTCTACCAAGTGATGATGCATTGTGACTTCTTGTCAACAGTTCGTAGCGTCCGCAGAGTTGGAGTCTGTGGAATTGTAGTTGTCGGAATACCTCATGTTGATCTCAAGCCATAGATCGACAAACACTTTGGCTTGTGCAAGCTTGCACATCGGTCATACGAAATATGAACGTGCATTTATTTTCAACTCAGGTACACTGTACAGAACACAAGCTTTCGTTTATCCCTAATGCGAATACAGTCTCACTACAACGACCGCCTGTGATGGAACGTGACAGGAATGGAGTTAATAAAATCGATTCCTTCCTTGCGATAATCGTCAGGGATCGTCGTGAGATTGTCTCCATTAAGTTGAATGAGGACCTGTTCACAATCAGTCAGCGACTCGCTCTGCCCAAAAAAGCAAACCCAAACGCACTTGGTTATCTGGAGTGTATTGCTCCCATTTAGGACCTGGCATCGCAGAATTAGATCCTAGACGTGGGGGTTGTGAAACCAAAGAGATCTAATACTCACGAGCACTACCCTTTCCATCGTTCGGATCTAAACTCGTAGCAAAGGAAACCCAGTAGTCAATCATAGCTGTACTCAGTAAAATATCAGAGGCAGTCCCGCCGACGAGCACTGAGCCGTATACATAAGCGATCTCCGAACTGTGGTCCACTGTGATAGCAAGACTCGGTCACCGCTCCTTTAATTACATACTGCCCAAGACTCACCTCCAAGGAAAGGTGGGTTCTGAGGTTGGGGCTGGGTGAACAGATATCCGAAAGTTTTCACGTTTGCGTCACTTGCTGCCTGTATCCATAACCTTCGCTGGGAATGGAAGCTGATATCTCCGTCTAAGGAATAAATATTATTAAAAGTCTTGAGATTAGGAATTTTCGGATTTACCAAGTGCAGCAGCTCTTTTGAAGCCAGGACTAAGCCCGAAAGTGTCATTTCCAGTATTGAACGGGGAGCCGAGAGCTGGGATATCTGGGTAGAGTTCTAGCAAGCGGTCTACTGCGATTTCCAGTTGAGCTTCAGTGACAGAGGGGACCGCAGGGGGCGTAAAGTTCGTAATGATGATATCCTTGATAAGTGCGGTGGTGTAGTTTTGAGTGGGCGGGGTAAAGAGAGTACCTAGAGAATGCGCAAGCGAACTATTTATGAACAAGCGAAACGAAAAAAAAACGAAAACATAACAAACCTTCATCCAAGTTGGTACCAGAGATAAACGGAATCTTCGCGAATATGTTTTTGGAAAACAGTATCGACGGAAGCTCGGGAATAAATCCTCCCGGGCCATCGATGGTGGGACTCCATGGGAACTGCTCTGGAGTTTCAGCTATCGAGAGAAGGAGACCTTCCAGAATGGCGGTAGAATTGGCGGCTTGGAGACATCCAAAGGTGTTGTCCGTCCCGGAAAGATTCTCGCACCCGGGAACTCCTGCGACAAAGTTGTTCCAGTCAAGCTGGCGGTGCTGGGCGTCGAATGTCAAAGCCGTTGCGGCGGAGCCAGATTCGAATATCTGAAGGGAGGATTGAACACCAGCGAGACAGTGGTATTTAATGACTTACTGCTGCTCTTGCAAGCTTGGAAAAGTCGGGATTCAAAAGTTGGACAGCGGTCATGATTGCTCCAGCACTCTCTCCAAACACTGTAACCTATTAATGTCATGGGAGAAGATTCAAAATGCTACCACAAGCGCAACAAAAGTATCTGTATACCTTGGTTTTGTCTCCGCCGAACGCACCAATATTGGCTTGCACCCATTGTAACGCAGTAACTTGATCTTCCAAAGCCAAGTTGAGGACTTTGCGATTAGCCGCTTCTTGCCCTTGAGGAAAGCCCAAAGGACCAAGTCGGTAGTTATAGTTCACATAGATGATCGGGGTTCCCTAGCGAAGAGAGAAATAACGGATCAGAGGATAAAATGTGTAAAAACAGATAACCCTACTTACTCTCGCAACACTTTGTGCTACAATCAATGTTCCGTTATACTTGCGTTGCAAGTGTTAGTTTACTTATTCATTTTCGGAGAATTTCACCAAAAAATAGTCACCATGGTACCCGATCCAAATTCGAAACCTCCACCGTACGTCCTGCGTAAAAATGAACATCATACACCTAACATTCTACCAAATGTTACGCTTACCAGAACATCACTGGAAGGGATGCGTTCGGTAAGGTGCCCGTAGGTCGAAATATGTTTATTGACAAGCAATCCTCTGACTGATCCGGGACAGCAGGGAGACCCTAGCAAAAGAGACACATCAGTCACCGTGTCCTCCACGCAGAAATGTCCTTCTTACAGGCTGCTGTGGCTGGAAGCAAGAATCTCCAAAATTACTAGCATCGAATTGCGTTGTGTTGATACTGGTTTTCAGAACTGGTGGCTGAAGGCGCAGTTTACCAAGAGGCGGTTCCGCATAGGGGATACCTAAACCAAGACGATGAGTCGCGTTCTTCATCGAGCAACATAAGACAATTCACCTCCGAAGAAATCTTGGTGCAGCAACGTTACATCTCTTCCTACTAATGTTGTGCCCCCTAACTGAACCTCCGGGGAAGCTGCATGTACGCCTGCGGCGAGAGCAATGAGATAGCCTAGGGCCTGAATAACCATTCTTGAACTGGGATTTCTCTCTTCGAAATGGGCGTGTCCGCGACCTCAAATAGCTGTTCAAGTGGTGGATCAGCTGCCCAGCTATATGACGATATACCGTGACGGATTTTCGGCTGCCGAGAGGTCAGATGTCTGGATGGAGCGCGTAGTCACCCAGGACGTTGTAGGAATTTCCATTCCCAGTCTAAAGTTCTCGTCCTGAGTAGTTTTTGGCATGTTAGCGGCTATTGAAGAAACCGAGTCGAAGTAACATGAGCCTGATGGAACTACGCAGCTGCTCCGCTGTGCTTATTTAAATAATTTGAAGTCGTTCGATGTTCATTCGCATGATTGTGAGAGGGAAGTTGTACAGAATGATTTACCAATTTGTACAGTAGAAAACTATGATTAGTAAGAATTATCGACGCGATATCAGTGACAGATGAATTAGACAGTTAAAAATAATCATACCTACATACTTAGAGAAGGTCGGTAAAGCGAAGGAAAACATAAGGAACACAAAAAACTAGAATCCAAAGCAGATTTGGCCCGTCTCAAAATCAAAACCCGGCCAAAGGAGAGTACACAGTCGAATCTGTCACGGTGACAGGGAATGAGGAGATATTGGGGATCCACGGGCACCATGCTCCATCTCGAGTCATAACAAAATACATCTTGTTTCTCTGCCCTTCGCCAGCCACGTCAAGTAAAGAATATATCTGAGGTACAACGATGTGGCCATGTGGCGCTGGTGCTCCGTCTGCGACGTACAGATTCCGATCCGCCTCAGTAGCCATCTTTGTTTAGCACATCTGCCACGTAGGCATGAGGTTGGGGTGGCCGCGTTCCATCAAGTATTTAGACGCCGGTGTCATGATAAGTTTTGAACTTTCATCCTAGCGTTTAAATTTGCGCCCAAGTAGATGTTCAAGCCAATGTTTGATAAAAATCTATGTAGCTTTGTGTGTTTCTGTCTGCTAAGTGAGCCAAAAGTTATGCTTCATTTTGTTTTCCTTACAACAACAAGAGGCAGCAAGAAATAATATTTGAAATTTTTGTACTTCGAATGTGACATGGGAGAGTCCTTGATAGAGCTACAACCTGCTACAACTTGTTATACATTACCTTCCGCCAACATTCTCAAACCAGTCATCCTCATCGAGATCATCAAAGCTACTCTGTACCTACCACACCAGTTAGATGGAATGACATTGGCACATCGAT